AAAAAATTCAAATAATCTGTAAGATAAACGGTTTGAATACACATCCCAAGTCAACTGGGAAAATGTGGTGGCATTCAAAAGTTGTAGTAAAAAGAAAAAAAAAACGAAAAAAGGAAGCTGAAGGATAATTCGAAACAGGCACAAGGCGACTCTAGAGATGAATTGAGACTTTTTTATACAAAGGGGGACTGAACTACACACTGATAGCAATCTATTGCCTATGGTTGCCAAAAAACGCTTCTGCGTTCTAGAAACACAACGGTTCAATTCATTATGACTGAAACGCCTCCTAATTAACCGAGCTCACCTTGATGTTATTATTACGCTTGGCCAACTCTTCCTTTAACATCCTTATAACTTCTAATTGCATCTTATGGTTCTTCTCAGGACGAATTTGACCAATCGACAGAATTCTCAGGACATTGTCTTTAGCAAATCTGAAAGGAAACAACTACGACTATTGCAATTTTATCGAATTGCATAACATTCATGGAAAACGATCCTATCAAAGTAAGGGAAATAAACTCATTTCACCAAATTGTAGATGACAAGGGAAGCAATATTGTCCAGCCGTAAACCATATGGTTTCCGCTTACACTAACAAGCTACCCCTCAAATGTTTCCGTAATGGAATTCCGTCTAAAAACATTCCAAACCTCAAAAAGACAATTTTCGCGAGTTTTGCAGGATCCAGTGGCACGCGACCGCGCCTGGACGAATTTGTTGATTGTTTAATGAAAAATAAGGATAAAGCTTTTTGGCGTTAATCAGTCTAACCTGAGGACTATGCCTCCGTGCTCGAATTTCATTTAGAATGATTAAAGGATAATAAGAAGAACAGTATCAAACATAAACTCATCCAAAGGAATGGCCTAATTTTGAATGCGACACTTAAGCAATTTAAATAGCAGCCCCACACCTAATTTCAAAATCTGCATTCCATCTCAAGATAACCTCGTTATAACGTCAGATGAAGCTGTTGCTGTAGAGATCCGGACAAACACAAACAGTTGACAGTAAAGCGAGAGTCGGACATGTGTGCTTTCTTATGTTGAAGAAATTCATAAAGTTATGCTCGCTACCTACGTGATCACCAGAAACATCCCCGCAAACTCCTTGTTTTAGTTCCCCTAGTTTTGTAAACTTCTCAAAATCATGATACTTGTTCAGAAACTTTGAGCAAGATCTTGACGAGTTCGAAATGCCGCCCAAAAACCGGTTTCCATCCAAAACAGAGGATCGATGAACTTATACAGGGAGCAAAGTTCTTATTTATTCAAGCATTTCTTGTGAAAACGTTGATATATGTGGGAACGAATATCAAGTGTATCATTGAAAATCATCATGAAATAAATCATTGAAACCCAATATGTTTATGCATCTTGTGCGCAATCGAATATCATCATGACACCAGCAATGGAAAAAGTAAGGGAGAGAAAAATTTTGAGATTTCTTTCTCCTAAAATTTAAGGACAGATAATCAAAAAGCTTTTTGAACTTCCTAGCTAGCAAATTTCGGGTAAAAGCGTTCAGACACACCGAAATCGAAACTCGCAAATATGAAGCGACGTGTTTGTCCAATACTCTACCACCCGATTGGCCGCATCGGCTTCCACGGCCCATTTACGCGAAAACAAGAGAGAAGTGGAGGATGCTATATTGCGAAGAACGTCTTAACTCATTCGAAAGATTTTGTTACGAATACTTTGGATTAATGCTTACGTTTACCATCTAAACACACGAAAGTTGGTGTCTACCAAACAGCAATCGACCAGAATGACCTATTGACTTTTCCACGCTAATGTACCGTTTTGTTTGATCGAACAAAGTTTGAATATAACAAAAACATTAGAATTATCACTGGCTACATTGGATTGTTCATGAGAGGACACACTATACGATTGCTGGAAATAGTGGTAAAACCCGAATCGAATTTCTGTGCGATGAACTAACCTCTCTTCGGCTACTTGTTCGAGTGCAAGAAAGGCCGTAACATCGCATGGTGGAAAAACTACCTTCGCGTCCGGGCAATGCCATAGACGTCTAATGTGTCCACCTGTCCAACTGAAAACCAAACGTAATGTAAGCAATATAACCAAGAAAGGAAACCTACAAACAGAAACAGATGAATGATGAATTAGGTATTAGACTTGTTATGTGAATGCTGCTCTTCTTCTTTCAAACATACTAATCCTTTTGACTTTTACACTGTCACCCCTTTTAAGGAACCTTATATACGATGAAACGTAGAGTCTTTCAAGTCACTCCGACGAACAGGTCAGAAATAAGAAGTGTTGTCCAACTGAAGGAGAACGGGACATATACGCACTTCAAAATTATATTATGTGCTATGAAAAACACCCCATAGTAAGCACATGTATTACGGAGGGATCCGACAGCCATAAAAAGAAGCCGCAGGGGATCTGAGAGAAAAAAAAAGCGGAAAAAGAGGATGTCTAGTCAGTGTCTCAAGCGCTCAACACTTGAATGCACTCTTCCTCATAGCTCCGTTCACGCATAGAGGATCTTATTTCTGCTAATGGACTTGTTTTACGACGCTTGAAAATGTCGGCGAATTATACCCATGCTATGACGCAAAAGTAACCCACCTTCCATTCACCATCACAACTTCAGTTGCACGACCACACAGACCATAGAAGAATGCAAATATACGGTAATACAACAGCTTCGCATGGCTCAGAAGATTGTTCTGCACAATAAGGTCGGCATTGTTATATGTTCGCTCGCGTCGCGACACCAAATCAATCATGTCTAAAAGTCAAATGATGGTCCTGTTCTGTCCTAGGCATGAAGAAAAAAGAGACCCACCATGAGAAATAGTCGGATAATGGACATATGCAGCAACGCGGCTACCAGCTATCCACCTGAACTAAATGCGTTGGAATTTTCTTCTAGAACCTCCCTTTATCACATAAGAAATGACAAATTTTCAGCCCATGGTGAGGAGCCTTTGGTGGAAGTCAAGAAATAATATCATCTAGAATGCGCTGTTTATTGCTGAAACACCACTTCAACAGCCAAAATCAAGAGACATTCTCTTTTCCGTGCTTTTTGCTTCATATATCGCATGCAACTAAACGCCTCCCCAAAAAAATTAGAAGTGTAAGATTAGCGATAGCTTGGAGAATGAAAAAAATTCAAAACAAAGCACAATAAACGAACAAACAAATTCTCAATTAGCCGTTAGGTAATTGCTCTGAGATTGCGCTGGCGCTGTTTAAAGGAATTGAATTGATCGCTTATTTCGACGCAAATGCACACCCATTTCCTAAAACATGAGAGCGCGAAATTATTCTTCACTGTCTCTGTAAAGACTATCACACGTGAAAATTGAGGCAGTATGAGATGATGGCAATCAGATATTGCCTATTCCACTGTCATTGCTCTACACTCAGAGTCAGCCAGGATGCAGCCTCCCTTTTTAATCAAATGACGCAAGTTGTCGAGAAGTCTAAAAAGTCAGCAACCCATATGACGTCGTTTGACGCTTTAGGGAAGACTCTCTTTCCAGAGCGCAATAAATTCTACCATAAAGGTATAATCAGAGGGAACGCGGACTGCGGGTGCATCCTGGTACGGCATTTTTCGCTCATTTTTTTCCGACAAAGAATGTATACCGCTGCGGTGCTACTTACAACTTCAAAGATGATATAAATGAAACGAGGATGATTGTACAACGTCAACAATGAAGGCAATCAATATTGGACAGATGAATAACCAACCTGAATAAAGGGAGAGTTAACGCATATCCCATGCTATCGATAAAAACTTCCGGATTTAGTTTCAGTAAAGCTTCGAATCCAAGAATAAACCCAGCCAATGTTTGTAACAGAAGAGTGAACCGAGGATATAGGTCTGCTTCCACTAATCGACGGAGTCTGAAAGGTTTTGTTCGAAAAAAACAAACTGGATCATACCTGTTGGAGAATTTGACAAGAAAAAGAAAGAGAACAGAAGAAAAATTAGAAATAGTGAGCCGTGAATCAAAAGTAAGCTTAGCAGCCAATGTGAGAAACATTACCGAAGAAAAATAAAATGCACATTTTTCGGATTCACGGTGATTCCAAATCGTTGCTTAGCTTTTAAGAGTATCTGCTCCTTCGTGGAATCATAATCACCAGAATAGACGAAAAACTCGACATCAGGCCATCTGAAAACAAAGTGATCACAGCACAGCTAACGAACCATACTCCACATCCTTGGGTTGTGACGTAATTTCGACTGTTTCATTTTTTTGCGTGTATTTTCGACAAAGCTCCCATTAAGGATGACGCTGTTCGGGCGAAAAAAGCGCACTCTTTCGACGTCCACGTTAACTGAACGCACCTAGAATTCCCGCATGGAAGGTGCGGAAAACTGACTCTAATCGACACAACGGTTCATAAAAATGTGGCACTCAGAGTTTCAAGACGGTTTCGAAAAAGAATGAAGGTGTGGAGGATGGCTATGAACTGCCCACAAAGGGTTGGCACGAGCAGAGGTGGGCGGAGCCAGCACAAAAAGTGCTTGATATGATTACAGAGCAGTCTAGAAAGAGACATTAGAGCTATAAGGTGGACAGCGGCTTAACTGAAAGGACTAAGAGACTTACCATTGGCAGCAAGAAATCCATGAGTCTTATAAGCGCTGTTGAGATTCGAAATTTATATTTCTTTTCTAGGAATGCCTGGAGAGTGGAAGATGTTGAGGCAAATAGTTACTGGAGATTCACACGGCGATTCCAGATCGAAAAAAAAAACTAACCAGGCGTAGAAGCGATTTGAAGAAGGCACGAGAATGCAAATGAGCTGTGTGAAAAAAAGAGCACGCTGAAAGAAAGATCATAGGACCGAATGCCCACATTTTATTGAGCGAAGTTGTCCCGCAGATTGGGCAAAATGGCAGAGCTCAGCACATACTTCTAAAGAAGACGTTCATAGTGGGCGGGACTGCCTCTGAGAGGACTCGAAGATTAATGAAACACGGCAGGAATTAGCGCAAAGTTTTATGGGCGGGGAAAAAGGTGTTGATCGGAGTGAATGTCAAGGTAGGCACACCAGTTAAAATAGAGCATACGCTTCCCGGAAATTGAACATTGACGACAAAAGAGACTATGATAAGGAAATGAATGAACCTAAGATTTAGTGTTCTGATCGTGTCAATTCGAAGATGGAAACTGTACAGGGCTCAAAGCTTTTGGATGGAGCACATAACTGAGAGTATGTAACCATAAAACTGAGAACCAAATGAGCTCCTGACTGTCGCTGGGAGCTAACGTTTTCAGACAAACGTGCGTAGTCAGATGAGTAATCCACCTGACTACAAATATAATGAATTACTAAGTGTGTCTATCGGTGTGCTAGCTTGTTTGCTTGTTTTTGCTTATAAGGAGTGATTTGACTGATTAGGCAATGAAATGATAAGAGCGAATTAGATTCTGCTAGACCAGGAAGTAAGCTAGAGATCCTTATCAATGCGCAGATTACTATTTGGTAAAAAAAGTTAGTGGCGGATTATCGGGTAATAAAAAGGAAGATGTCCACGGCAATGAATAATAGTGATATTTTTCAAGAATAAAGGAAAGTAGTCAGATAAAGTCACCACCAAGGAATGGAGTTGCGCTATTAAGCTGTCTAACTCGTTGCTCTGTCCCGAGCTGGGGAATAAAAGAGCTTGATCACATTTGTTTTCTTACAACTGCCGATTATGGCCGCAATTGCAATGAATATGTCAGCACAAATGAACCGAAAAGAGGGGCAAAACGGCTCGAATAATGCACATACCAATATTCACGTGTGCGAAGATATATTTCCTATACGTTCGCCAATGTAAATATGAATTCTTATCATTTTCCTCACTACCGTAGACTAGACACTTCTTGCCCGTTGCCAAATGCTTTACGAGGGCAACAGTCGCTAGTGTAAACTAAAAGTGTCACAATCCAGCAATGAAGACATGACGCCTATTGACATCTGCTCAAAAAGTGGTGGTATTCCGTGTTAAAAAATCAAAGGTTGCGTTGACGGAGAAGAGGAAGGAAATAATTGTGGCATGAGGAAAAATGGTGAGTTGTAGTTGAGCCTCTTCAGAAGAGGACAGGAACGAATGATGACAAAAACTGTATTTTTCGCGAAATAAGATGTTTAAATCCTAAAATACTGGTCGGATTACATAAGAGCTGTCTTCTATAGAGAGGTTGAGCCTCACATTCAACATTAATTGCAGTAGCCACAATACAAATGCACGGCATAAAGGACTGTGCGGTCCTAACATGTGTTTTTTGCTTCAAAATCAGTTTGGTACTCAAATAAGATACTCGAACAATGAAAATATTCATCTTGCTTGCTTTGCTGAATATATTAAATAGATATATTGAAATTCTGATATTTTTCCTGGCTTTTGACTACCAAATTAGACTAGCATAGAGGAAATTTCCACAGCACACAATCCATCGGCTCAATCACATATGAATGACGAAACAAGAAAGCGAGGAGAATTGAATTGCCGAGCAGAACCAAGCAGGAGGGATTAGCGAGAGAATGACGAGCCCAAAGCGGGGCAAAATAGGCAGTCGCAAAACAAGCCTCGCACAAATTATGAAAACAAATTACGCCAATAAAAAGGCAAAGCTCTGAATGTAGCAGCGGACATGTGCGAGTCAGCAGATGCTTAAAAAATCCAGCGATGCAGACGAATACTCCGCACACGTCTGATTCCGAGAAAGAACGACAAGTAATATGGACCGTACAACACAGAAATATACTCTCCAAAAAAAAAACCTACAATTGAGCTCGGTACTTCTGTAGAGAACTATAAGCGAAGATGGGAAAATTAAATCAAATGATGGATGCGTGAATCAGAGATTACCATTTCAAGAAATAGCCCAAAATCCTACATGCAAGATATGCTCGTTCAAGTCAGGCGCGAATTTGTCGCGCGTGACAGTGCTCAATTCAGAAGGCAGGGTCTTATGTAGCTCTTTCACTCGTTTACATTTCTGAGAAGCAAAGCGCAGTGCTTTCCATCTATGCTGACCATGAAAGCCGGAGACAACCGTCTCTCTTACAAGCAGTCTCGATATGTGTGTATCCACCGATGATCGGTATGTAACGAACCAAAAAGTAAAAAAATCACTCGGACTGCTAAAACGAATTTCTGGAGTTCTCCGGTGGAGAGGAAAAAATCAAAGCTGGATCGAGGATGATCCAAACAAAGATAGGCCCAGAAATTTTGCATAAGAACATTTGTAATGCCACCATGTGCTCACAAAAGCTTTCGTTCACGCTTGTTGATGCTCACTTGTAGGTCGAAAAGCTTTACAAATCGATCAGCTCCTTTCTCAATTATTTTATTTCCTCTCTCCAGGCATATCATACTTCGCCACAAAATTCTTAATGCAGTATTATGAAGGTCATTATACGAAAATTAATTAGCTTCGTCAGCATACCAGCGCAAGACATGTCGTATTTCACGCTTTTTCCACCCAGCTTTGGCCAACTAAAATTCATCGGCGAAATGAAATCCGTCAGTGAAACCAAATATTTCAGTGAAAACGGAGTCCAAGGAGCACATATGGATGAGGGATAATGTTTTTTGAAGTAGCTTGGAAAGTACTCTTTCATTTTCGGTTAAAATCTCAACCCTTCGGATACTGGTCTTTTCAGTGATCTGCGATGCCAATGTCCCCTTTCTAAAACGAGTATAGTAAAAGTAAAAGTAATAGATCACGAAATGCCTTTCAGGAAAAAATATCTTCAAGTGCAAGTGCAAATGTCTGAAAAAAAAAACACGTATTGGCGTAATATCAACTATAAATTTTACTGTTATCAAACGTTTGATGTAGGCAGTAGCAAAGCAGTCAGGGAAAATGATATATTGCCCAAATTGCTTCCAATTAGCGAAGTTTCTCAGTAGAAACTCACATTTGCACGTTTCCAAATTACTGCGCAAATGAAGGGTCGGAGGAATGGGGAATATGATATATACATGGAACGTGAGAATTCCCTAACCGTTGAATTCTATGAAAGTGCTCATTAAAAAAAAAAGAAAAAAATTGGAAGGGAAATCTTACTTCTGTTGCATGGTCCGAATAGCGCACCATAGTACCCGCTCACCACCTCCACCAGCATTGCAGTAAGGATGAAAGAACGCAACAACGTTTGCCTTCCTGGAAAGACCTGTTTATTGGAATACTAGTACACAAGTCATCAAAGGAACATTTGGGCCCCTCTAAATCCGTGACGCCCAAAAAATTCACAGTTATGAAACATTTTTAGAAAACAGATCATAACCAGAAAACCTAGGAAAGCTAAGCAATCGGCAAAACTCTGTCCTAAAATGCGGATGCGGGCACTACATAAGAAAGTGGGAATGCTTTCTATTTGTACTGTTATGAGCGCTGAAATATAGAAACCACGATTTTGCTATCAGTTAGAAGGACCTGAATTTAGGCGATTTGAGCGCTTCGCTCGAAAACAGAAATGTTCATTAGCTCTAGAACACCTTGTTCGGAAGCTTGACGCATTCAATCCCTGACAAAGCATTGCAATCGACATGGGTAAAGAACACATTCTGAATATGCGATGATCACTTCATAAGCAGTGAATTAAATGGCGCCCTCCACAGTTCTGCCAATGGACCGACAGAAATCTGATTGGTGTCAGGTCGCTGATGAAAACGATGAGTATGATTCGATCCATTTCAGACTATTCTCCTTTCTTGGGCTCAGATTTGAAGAAAATTTTTGGGCAAAGGGTTCCTCAAGAGAAATTTGGCGAGAACGCCATCACAGGAAAGCAAAGATTGTTATCTCTAACATGAAAAATAGACGATCTGCTAAACACCTTGACGTCATTGCATAAAAAAGGTACGATAACAGGGTAACAGAACACAACACAACGGTGAAACGTAGTGAT